AGCCGGGCTAAAATGCCGGCTTCGGGTGGATGGGGGGGAGGAGGGATTCCCCCCCATCCACCCAAGCTGGGTGAAAGGAGGGGGGAAGCCGGCCTGGCTAGCTGGCAGTGCTTTGCCGTGATCAGTTCCCTGCTTGGGGAACCGATCCTGACAAAGCAATGCTTAACAGCTGATCGGCGGTTTCAAAATGGCTGTTTTGCCTCGCCTAAGAGGCACAGAAAATGGCCGTCCCTATGGAGGATCTTCGCTGAACGGTGAGTTTTCAGTCCATTGGAACGCATTAACTGGGTTTTAATGCGTTTCAATGGGCTTTTTTATTTCGCTTTACGATGTTTCCGTATAGCGACGGTAATCCTGGAACGGATTAACGTCGCTATGCGGGGCACTACTGTACTTCCTTCTGGACTGTAGGCAGTTCCATTTAATGCAGTGGAACCAACTGCAGTAAAATCCATGCAATGCCTAAGTGCTTTCAAGTTAGTACCCTCCACCCATAAAAGGAAGCTGTCCCCGACAAAAGAGAGTTAGAAAGCAGCATGAAAGTTAAGCCAGATGGAAGGTCTTGACATAGTACAAGTTACCTTTTAATTGTTATCTATTTAATTTTATCTCCTGTTTCCTGTGTGAATAGTTGGTGTTGTGCTGAAAGGAAAGGGTGTGATTTGTGTCAAGTGATAGGAAGTAATTCAACAGCTCCACCTATATGCACTTTTTATGCAGTGTGGATTTACATTTACTCTTTGGGTTTCCTTTATTACAAAAAAACTTTACAGTGCATTTTTATGTTCAGTATTATTGACTAGTTACATTTTTAGTGTTTGGTGCTGCATTCTAACACATGAAGGGCTATAAACCAGTGGTTCCGTTCAAAATGGGGAGAAGAATAGAAGCTTCAGGAAGAGGATGATGTGGACATTTTGAATGTGTGATGGGGAAGTATTGAAATCCAGTTTCAAAAGCTGCGGCTTAAAATTTATTTCCTTGGGTATCATGCAGGATGAATGACTGCATAATGAGGAAAGTTTATCAAAGCTGGAGGACAAACTGCTGTTAAAATCTAGAAACACAAGAAAATTCTATTCCATTGTTGAATTTTGTTTTGTTTTCTAGCTTGTTTTTTGCTTTGCTCTTGTCATACGTCATGCATGAATGAAAATGCAGCATTCTCCTGGGAGCTGTAAAGCTTCTGTGAAGATTGTTTATTTCCTTAATCCCATCTCCTTTGTGATTCCTGATGTCAGATATAAAATGGAAAGCCTTTAATGTAAAGATTATCATCCTTATTATCACCTGCACTAGGGAGCGCCTTAGCTCTCTGTTGTTATCCTACCAGTTGCCATATGTTACTGCTTCTCGAAGGTTAGATTTTAACATGTCCGCTTTATTATGTATGTGAAGCCCAGTATGAGTTGCTGTGGTGGCTGTATAGCACAGATGGGTACCGGGTTATTTCATTATTTTACATTTATTGTAAATTGACACTGAAAGGGCTCCTTTTTATTTTGAACTTTCCAAGCTATTTAAGGCCTTCCTAATTCCATTAGTAGTAATCATGCAAATGTCAAACATAAGGGCTAGTTCCTGAATTGCATACAATAAAGGGTATGAAAAAAACCATGATTTGTGCCCAATGAACTTCTTGCATAAAAACACTGAACAGGGGTGTGAGACAAAGAAGGCCTGAGAAATCTAATTGGGGGAGGCAATAGTCAACCACCCATTAACACAACCACATCTACTGTGATACCCAAGAGAAGTGTTTTCAAGAGGGAGAGAATCTGCAGTAGGGAATTAAAGGTGGCAGGAAAAACTGACTCGAATTTAGGCCTGATCTTCAGCTCATGTCATAATGTATCTACCACAGGAAGCAGAAGTGGAGGACACCTTGTTTTGCCCTGAGTACTGTTTTGAAATAACCTTGAAACACCACCACATGAAAGTGAAGTCCATCTTCCAAGAAGGACTTGAAAGTGTGTGAGGTGGAAATAGGTCTGTGACTTCAAGAGTGTACAGGATGCAAGCTTCATGGCCAAATAATTGTTCAACACAAATGTCTGTCTTTTTGCACCACAGCTTTTAAACATGCCCCCCTTAAGAGAGGTTAAATTCCTGTTTCAATTTAACTTGAAGTTAAAACTGTCATCTGGCTCAAATATGTGGTGTTTAGTCCACATGCTCCTATTTGCTGTGAACTTATGGCTCCCATTACGCTTTTGAGGGGGGTTGTTTTCTTTTTTCATTGTCTGGTTCCCAGTCCCACCTAAGCCTTTCTGGATTTTATTGTAGTTCATTGTAAGTGCCATACTTTATAGTGGAGGCTTTCAGGCATCTTCCCCCCACTCTGTGGAGGCCTAGGCTTTGTTAATTGCATGCTGCTCTAAGAATACACTGCTTGATACCTTTGAACCTTATGCTTTGCCTTGACAGCTGGGCTAGCAAATGCCACCGACAACAGCATTGTATGGGGGCGGTGGGTGGGGGGAGTCTTTTGTAAGTAAAATGTCAGTGTGGCTAACCTTGCCAGCACCCAATTGTTAAAAGTGTGATTCACTTTTTCTTTTCTTTCTTTTTTTTAACCAAAGCTTAGGCTAACCTGGTCAGCCTTCTGTTTCTATAGCGATTAGCCTGAGGATATGTCCTTTTTCAGCTTATCAAATTTTATTAACTTCAGCTTCCTGCTTCAATGATCATTTGTTCCCACTTCAGATTCTTGGATAGTTTACCAGTATGTTTTTTTTACTCAGTGCTTAAAAATGGAAATACTAAATGCTTCCATAAATGATTTGGAGCACAACCTCCTGGAAAATTCTCCAGCACAAGTTGCACCAAAATCAGTGGGAACTTTGGAAGAGCAGCTCTTTTGTGCTTCTGTCATTTATTTTAATGGACCTAAGCAGAATAATGTCTCAGTGAATTTAGCCTTAATGCATATAATCATACTCCTTTGCAAAAAGGGATTATAAAAAAGGCATAATAATTGCAGTTTAAATGACTTAAGTGATGCTGAGATTTTCTGAATTTTATCTTCTGTTATTAATTTAGGATGTGATTTTTAAATCTAATATTTGGGAAAATAAGTGAAAACCTTATTTGATATAGGATTTTGTACACAGGAATATTACATTATTGTGTTGTTTATCTTTTGAACTCTGTGTTTTTGTAAGCAATATATTTAATTTATCTTTGATAATTTCTTCATCTTGGAAATAACACAGCTACTTTTCTCTCAACTGTTTTCATTTGAAAAACGAAGTCTAATTGGAGCTATTCATGTTTGTTGTAATTTGTCATCAAGTCAGAACTGACTTATAGCAACCCTAATAGGGCTTTCAAGTTAAGTAAGGTACTTAAAGAATGATTTTACCACTCCCACTCCCCTGTGAGTTTCCGCGGCAGAGCTGAGGAATTGAACCCAGGTCTTCTGAGTCCTAGTCCCTCACTCTATCCACCATACCACACTAGTATGACTTAAATAAAGAGCACCTGCTACTACTCCAGTGTTGCTTGAGTTTCTTGAGGACAGAAGAAGTCAGAGTCCTAAAGCTCTGATTGAAATACCAGAATATTTTTAAGGGATTCTTTTTTTTCCCACTAGGGGTTAGATTTATTTTAATTGAAAGTACATGCTATTCAGTGTGAAATCAATTCCAGATAACAACCAGAATGTCTTAACCTAGGCATTAGATTAATCCTTGAAAGGTAATATGTTTCTTATTAATTAAGAATAGAATTCTAAAGCCACAGCTCTTAGAATCAAGTAATGTCATGAAGTAGTATGGACCAGTAGACAAGAAACCTTAGTTCAATCTCTGGTCGGCTGAAAATGTATGCTGCACACTATATTGGACAATTGCTGAAAATAGCAGCTCCATATTTTCTCTTCCCTAAAATATGAAATATTTTTCTGTGAATTGTGTCTTAATCACATAGTACTTCTCCAGCCAGTAGTGCTGTCAGTGAAACTGTCAAAGTGATTATGAAAGGACACAGGGTAAGTGGCCCTAAACATACTGGGGAGAGATGTGCATGGTGCTGTTTCTAACTGCAAGCGTATGTTCAGTCTGGAAGGTGTTGTAGAATTGATTGAGGGCCTGTCCGGATGGAGATGTACATTGCTATTTGATTGCTTTTGGTAGGATTTGATTCAAACTCAATTGTGTCATCCACACATGTTTCTACTTAGGCCAACCCATCTTGCTCCTTAAGACCTATTCCATTTCTTCCTGGCACAGGACTAGGGGCTTCTGATTTTCTTGGCATGATTTGGCATGTTCCTAATTATCTCATTGTGCAGCCTCTACAGATGGCTAGTTTGCACCCAAATAGACAACGCTGTGAAATAATAGGTAGGTTGTGACATTAAATAGGAGAACAGAGGAACCCCCTCTTCTTTTTTTTGTCTTTTTAAAAATATTTCCCAAATGACACAGCGCAATTCTAATGCCATCTAGGTTGTTCTGTTACTTTTTTGATATGCCACTTACTTTATTTAACAAAAAGAAACTTACTTGTGAGTGAATTGGGTATACTTACATGCAAGTAAATCAGCAATCCAAAGAGTTGTATAGACCCTTCTCATAGGAGAATAAGCATCTCTAGTATGAATGGGAGGATAACTCAAATGACAGAGAAAATAGATTGCACTGAAGAATCTTTTGAGTGTGGACTAGACTGCTCCAAATTCCCCTGTCTGGACAGACTCTAAGAGTGATACGTCCTGTAGTTAACCACCCCTTTTTCCTGTTGAAAGCCATTTGTCCAAAGTTATTTTGTCAGTGGATATAAAACATGTATTTTCTTTTTTTTCATTTGCAAAGTCTGTTGACATTTCACTGCTATCTTGTCAGGAGAAGAAGCAATCTTTTCAGTGCAAGTAACTGAACGACTGCATGTTGAGATAATTATGTAAAAGGAGACTGCCTGAATGAGCTTCAGAATGTGTTATTTCTTTATTATCTAGCACTTTATAATTAACTGTTCCTTTTTTATTATTATTTCAGGAAGCTGCCACTTTTGCTAGAGAGCAAGGCTTTGAGGTGAGTTAACCTACGTTGCACACTAAACAGATTCTAAAAGGGTTTTTTTTCCTGCTGATAATGAAGTTCTTTTGGATAGTGATTGATGTGCTATTATACTCTCCAAGCCTCGCTGGGGTTGCTATAGAAACTTGGCAGTCGTCATGGTTTCTTTGTTCTGCCAGCTCAGTGTTATGACGCACTCTGCTAGGTCTGCACCCAACATCGCCTACAGATGTTATTTATTGAATTTTGAAAAGCCTCTTGGGAAGCTGAGAGGTTGGGCACGGCTTCAAGCTGCCTCTGCAGATATGGGACCTGTCAGTTTGCTCAGTTAAAAAGCCACCTCATTAGCTGAATTACACTCCATAAGGATCTGCTGCTAAAGCAGTGGTGAAGCAAGACTAAATACTGAAATATAACACCATTTTAAATAACTTAAACTCTGCCATATGTGGATTATCGTTATGCAAATGAATTTCAGTAAGGTTGTATGTGGAATTGTTAAGACCTGATTAATGTAAACCCTGTCTTTTACACACAGCCTCTTTTGGAGAAGTGGGCTGTGCTTTTGTTAACACAGAGAAGTGCTATTTTCCATCTCGGTTTGCATACATGTGCAGTCTCTTAGCATATACATAAGTATGCACATGGAATCAGCCTTTTGTTTAGTTTGTTAACTACACCATTTAAAAGATTTTAATCATGTCATTAGTATTTTGGGCTGTGAATGCCTTTTTCTAGAGTTATCCATGTGTTATACCAAAGCCACTTCATCAGAGAACTAGCGCTTACAGTGAATAGGGACTGTATGCTCATATGTCCTAAATACTCTCATGTAACCTTTAATGTATTTGCACTGATGTGCTCCATTGTGTATAAAATACCTTTCTGTTCAGCATTTGCTTGTGTTCTGTTCATTGGGCAAACGTATTACAGAAGCAAATATATATTCTTCTTAATTTAATTTATTAAATGCTTTTTTCAAGAAAAGGCTCAAAGCATTGTACAGTATATACCCAAAGAAGGAATAATATGTCCACAATTAGAACTTAGGTACCCTCCCATAAGCAATAAATCGTAAGCATATCAATTGCCATTATATATTTGTATCTAATGATTTTTTTTCTAGAGTGTTTAATTCTGATGTCGGTATAATAAAAGTAATATGTAATTATAGAGAGGCCAAAAGAGGAAGGATAGATAGAAGTATTTTTAAGTATAGGAATATTATAGACAAAATGAAGAAAGTACAGAAATATGGAGAATTAATGATAGAGAAGGTTGCAAGGTCCAGTTTTTTCAAGATAATGCAAAAGTGCATACAGTACTTCTTTATCATCAGTATTTAAGTGCTAGGACTGTATCCTTTGTTATTCAGTTTTTATAACAGAAATTAAGATTGAACAAAATCTTTTACTTCATATAATATCTTATTTATGGCAAGTAAAGTGATGATGCAGTTCTTGATAATGATGTAAGGCCTGTTTATTTATTTATCTATTTATTTTTGGTCTGTGTGAACTGCGTACCTGTTACATGCCTAGTTTCAATTCACACCAAGTGACAAAATGCATTTACATGTGTCTGCAGACCACCTTCATATTAGACTTTTTGTTATCATTTTTAAACAATTCCTAGCAGTTTCTGCTGAACATCATAAGTATGCCATATTTGATTACTGAGCATTGCTGAAGGGCACAGTGATGTGATCTAATTTTACATTGCCCCTTGTCTTGGGAGCAGCAAGTGACTTATCACAACTGCCATCAGTGATTTATAATGTTTGATAAGTGTCCATTGAGGGTTTTTCATCTGTGACTTTAACACATCTCCAAAGCTTAGTCATAAAAAGGAGCACTGACAATGGGCCACCATTTAGGGTATTCAAGAAATACCTTGAAAACGAAAGGGAATATAATGAGAGCATGGATGTCTAGTTGATTGCTAGCTGAGAACACTTTTCAGAAGCTGACAGAAAGTTCTGTGTAGACCACTGGTTCTTAACCTTGGGCTACTCAGGAGTTTTGGACTGCAACTCCCAGAAGCCTTCACCACCAACTGTGCTGACTGGGGTTTCTGGGAGTTGCAGTTCAAAAGCATCTGAGTAACAAAGGTTAAGAACCACTGGTGTAGACCATGTTTTACTGTGTTGATATTGTAGCATGGGGGACGTAATGACGCTGCAGGTTAAACCGCAGAAGCCTCTGTGCTGCAGGGTTAGAAGACCAGCAGTCGTAAAATCAAATCCACGCAACAGAGTGAGCCCCCGTCACTTGTCCCAGCTCCTGCCAACCTAGCAGTTTGAAGGCATGTAAATGCGAGTAGATAAATAGGTACCACCTCGGTGGGAAGGTAACGGAGTTCCATGTCTAGGTGCACTGGCCAGGTGACCACGGAAACTGTCTTCGGACAAATGCTGGCTCTATGGCTTGGAAAGGGGGATGAGCACCGCCCCCTAGAGTTGGACACGACTGGACTAAATGTCAAGGGGAACCTTTACCTTACTGTAGCATGAGAAACACAAAATGAATACCATCAGATTTCTTCCACATCTTTAGGTAATGCCTGTCTTTCCTAACAAAGTGTTTATATACACAGTATTTATACAAAGCTGGGCTCTGGCTGTCTGTGAATTTCGTTGTATGGCACCGCCCCCTAGAGTTGGACACGACTGGACTAAATGTCAAGGGGAACCTTTACCTTACTGTAGCATGAGAAACACAAAATGAATACCATCAGATTTCTTCCACATCTTTAGGTAATGCCTGTCTTTCCTAACAAAGTGTTTATATACACAGTATTTATACAAAGCTGGGCTCTGGCTGTCTGTGAATTTCGTTGTATGTAAATTCTTAATCCAAAACACACAATATCCTGTATAGATGGGTAGAGTCTAGAAAGTATTTCTTGTATTAAACCTCCTTGAGCATGAAACAGGGAGCTGTATTTCTCAGTGCTCTCTTGCTTTAAAAAGGTTTGCATCTCCATTTTAAAAAGAGTTAGATAATGGAGAATATTAAGCCAGAATCTTCTCCCTGGTGCACTTGCTTTCTAAGTGCAAGGAAATTTCTCAAATGGGGAAGTATTCAGGGCTGCAGTTTCCTCATGTTTACTCTGAAATGAAATTTCCAGCAAAAAGATTAATAATGAAGCAACAGAGCAGTAGGACTCCATAAAAGCAAGAAGAGCAAACATTATCACTTAATGAAAGCAGAAGCAAAGATGAGTGTTTTTTTTCTAGTACCTAAAACTTAAGAAAGAGGGTACAATTCTTGGGAAGGAGTTCTGTGCTTGGGGTTCAACAACAAGAAACAAAAATAAAAGCCTTCTTTTTATCAAGGCATCTGTTGCCTTGAAAGTGGGAGTCATCAAAAAATAACCTTTCAGAAGGTGAGAGCAACCCAAGAAGAGCCTGTAAAGAAAATATTTGTGATAGGACAGATTTGTGTGAGAGGAGGCATTAAAGGCAAGAATTAGAAATTGATTGCAGAGCCTTGGCTGAACTATGTGATCCAGAGTGGAGAACTGGAATCTCCACCCATTAAATTCTGTGTATTGCAGACTCTGTCAGGGAGCATGGTCACATACCTTATATAACGGGGATGACCATGGTCCCTTCAGTGGGGGGGGGGGAGCCAGCTTCAAGGTGGAATCACCCGCTGTAAGATCTGGACAGTTGTACTTACCTTGAGCTTTCTTCTGTTGGGAACTTTGGAAAGAAGCATCCCCTGGCCTCTTTGCAAGGTAGATTGGGGTGGGTTATGGGTTAGGCACATGTGCTAGTGGTTCCCCTTCTCTGCTTTAGACCTTATCTTAATAATTTGATCTTGAAGATTTTTGGGTTATTTCTACTTGAAGAATCTACCTGTTATTTCGGGAGTGTGGGTGGGAATTATCTTTTATTAAGTAAAAGAATGGTCTGAAGTGGGGGGAATCCCCTTCAAATGTACACCAAAAGAGTTTTTCACCCCCTGAAGACATGAAAAAAACTGAAGTTGTTTATTGTATGAAAAATAACTGCATTCCCAGTTGTTGCATTATGTGTGAAAAAAGAACACTTTTAGGCATTAATTACCTCCAGAAGTAACAAGATATGTACTTGTGATATATTATATCAAAGCTCTGTACATTATTCCACACATCTCTTGCTCCACAAGCACTTTAAAGGTTTAATAATAAATGGGGATTTATTTTACAGATAAACAGCTGGAGGGCAAAAAAGACCATTTATATTTCTTGTGGAGAGAAGTGAACAGTGAATTATTTCAGACACTTCTTTTTGCTGTGTTTTGTGCCATTAATTCTTAAACATAAGAATTAATCTCCGAGTAGTATAACAAAGATCACAGTCAGTTTGTTTTGAATTGTTACACAAGATTTCATTAATCTAAGGGAATAAGATTTCATTAGTCTAGGAGAGTATAGACAACATAAATTATGATAGTGTGAGAGTGTCAAATAAAGTCTAGTGTGAATAAATCTAGTGTGAATAAGAATATAGTGATACAAATTGGGGAAATAATAATCTTAGCGTGTAAGAAACGCATACCAAGATGATGTGTTCAGCTGATTTCCATTAGTATTTTCTTTTTCTTTTTAGCAAGAATAATTTTGTAAAGCTATTACAGGACTTTACTATGGTTTTTTACTCTAAATATACAGTGGTGCCCCACATAGCGAGGTTAATCCGTTCCGGATTAACCTTCGCTATGCGAAAACATCGCTGTATGGGGCAGGAAAAGCCTATTGGAACGCATTAAACTTAGTTTAATGCGTTCCAATAGGCGCCAAAACTTACCCCTCCAGCGATGTTTTCGCGGTCCGGCGG